CTAAATCTCTGGTTTGCGTTTATTTTGAGCACTTTATCATTACTGCAAACCACTCCCGATAACCGGTTATGTTAGATCTAGAACTTTTAAACCTATAAGTCTAATATCAAAGAGTGGAGTACTCATACAGGATATCATTGGTATCTCAAGTTTAAGAACCAGTTGTATCACTAGGATAACGGAATCATTGTCTAACAATGAGGTATCATTAACCATCCAGCATTCCGTGAGCGGATCAATCAGTGAACTCATTCTCCAATGAGCATCTACACTATAGCCTTAGTGTCCTCACACGAGCAACTATGAGACCAGCCATCTTTATCATATGGACAAGTATATAATATGCCAATCTGTCTAGTTATCTCGATGTCCTTCTCAAGTAACCTATGATTAAGATTATTTAGGGTTTATGTTTAAAAGTGAATCGATCTCATTATCGTGATCTAATTCCTATTGCACAGATCCATAAACATTATAATATATATATATATATATATATATATATATATATATATATATATATATAATAAAAAAATAATAATATTAGAAATTTGATGGGCACGTGCAAACTAATGCTCGACATGTCCGATTTCACTTTTCCAAAATCATCACCGTTCATCACAAACATTACTATGTAATCAAATTGACCAGAACACCTAATGTCTACCTCCATTGAGCCTCTCGATCACACATCACGTCTTAACTATTAGGATGTCTTCTCGACTACGAGTATAGTAGACGTTGCATGGTTGCCATCCTCCCTATTATTACTCTAAAAGATAATTTTATGCGATTATGTGCACTCATCGAAACTGAATTTATTAATTTATATTTATTTAAAATGTGACTTATTATGTTTACGCATTCCTGATTCCATAGAACTTGGTCTCGTTAGATTGCTAGTTCCACTAAGTCAATTGATTCTACTACGACAATATAATTAAATGAAACATAGTATTATACTATCTTTATTTTTTTTAATTCTTAATTATTCTCCATTCTCTATGCTCCTCCTTTTTTTCTTTTTTCTCTTCTTCTTTTCTTCTCATTCCTTTATGTTGGATCGGTAATGAAATGTCAAAGTATTTATTAGTTAAGCTAGTATACACTTTCAATTTTATCAAAAGTAAATATATTTTAAAAATTAAGAGTATTATTATCCATTGAAAATACTGAAAAATATTAATTTTATGTAATCGGTCTATTTGGACAAATTGCTTTTATATTTGGATAACTTCTTAACTATTCGGTTATACTTTCATTCTTTAAGTCAGTCAGTATTTTAGTTGCGAATGGCCAGCTGAAGGTGGCGTGGTGATGTATTTAAGTAATACATCTCATTTATTGCGCCTCGGGTTAATATCATAATATAAATTTATAAATCATTACTTTCCTACTGTAATTTTCTTGAAGAGATGGGGGAGTAAAAGAAGAAGCAACCTTGCATGCCAAATAAAAATTTATTTTCTTTTTCATTTTAATGGCGATTTAATGATTTTCAATATTTTATTAGTATCATAATTGTTTATATAATGGTACATATAATTAATTGTATCAGTAATTTAGTGAAAAATATAGAAAGAAAATAAATAAATATAAAAGCTGTGGGATCGTATGGTTTTGGATCGATCCAACTCATGATTCGATCGAATCGAACCGTGTATTCGAATTTGACCCGATCCGACCGGGTTTGATATCTAATCGATCGAGACCCGCATCGCTTTGGTTTTGCAGTTTAGACCCGCAGGGATCGATCTGAAAAGAACAAAGAGTAGAGGAGGCATCCTCTAAAAATGTTGGCTCCAAAGCCGCTATTTTTATCCCCATTTCTACTCCTCCCTTGCTGAGCTCTCTCTCTCTCTCTCTCTCTCTCTCTCCCTGCCTGCCATTCTTCCCTTTTTCCTCCCAAATTGGTTTCTTCTGCTTCAGGCAGATAGCGCCGGCAGTGGTGGCAACAAAACTAGATTCGGGAGCAGGCAGCTGCCGTATCTCGAAGGACGCCATCAATGTGCGAGTTCCTGTGAAATGGATTGCGGTGAGACCGGTCCTTGAATCGATCCCGCTTTGGGGCATGATGAGGTTCGCACAGATCTCCCGTGTTTTTCTTCCTCTTTGATAAGGGTCTAATTTTGGAGTTCTTTTTCCCGATTCGGTTTTGTGAGGCCTGCAATCGGTGCAAGGAGGGAAGGTGGAGGAGGTGGAATGTGCTCCCTTCCTCCTGGTGATTGGACCGCCAGCTCCAGCAGGTTTCTGGCCGCCGATCTCCTTTATCGGCTGCAGCAAAACTTTGTTGGGGCTTCTAGTTTGGCTCAAAACGGTTCCAAATCTAATCGTCGTTCTGGGTACTTGTCGCCGAATGTCTCTCCGAGGAGCCGGTAGATTACTGATGGTTGCGATCCATCGTTTTCTAGGATTTATGATTGTTTTCTTTCTTCCGGTGTGTCTTTAGTTTGTAGTCTTTGGCACGGTATTGTCCAGAGGAGACCACCTATGACCCAATTTCAGCTCTGGAAGGATCGCGTCGTCTTCTAAGATTTGAACTTTCCCTCATGATCTATATCGATCTATTTTTCACGCATTTTTGGGATGATTTCTTCCTCCGGACACAGTTTGGGACACTGCGGTCGTTGCCTTCGTTCTCCCTTCTATTGTTGGATTGATACCGAGGCATAAGACTACTCTGGCTTGCTGGTGATGTATTTCCTTTCTGTTTGGCTTCTTGGTCGAGGCATTCTTCTTCTCCAAATTTATACTTCTTTGGCGGCTGGTAAAAGTTTGCCGTTGGAACAGCGATTCGTCAATGTCGAGTGCTCGTCTCAACAACATCCTTTGTTCTTATTCAATTTGAGCCAAAGAGCTCTCCTCTTTTTCGGCGTTTCCATAGATTTCAAGGGCATTTTGATCTCCATTTTTTGTTTTTAGGCCTCTTTATGTAGGATATTTGGTTGGATCTATCGAGACATGATGCAGATTTGATGCCATTACAGCGACCTCTTGCATGCAAATGTTTGTGGCGCAGATACCAGAGAGTGATTCCGGATGTGCTTCCCCTCGGTAATGGAAGGAAACCCTGCCTGAGACCCTGCAAGGAACACGATGCGGTTCTCGACTACACTTCCGAAGCAAAGCCATCTCTACTGGCGCGATCCGCGTCAGGATCGGCCAATCCCTCCCCACCACGAGACCAACCCTGCTCCTTCCCCTCGGATTCGTCACCGGCGCGGTCCAGCGACCGGCCGCCCTCCTCCTCCACTGCTACGGCGGCGAAGGCTCAGAACCACCACTACCATCGTGAGGTAAACGGGCTGAGCCCTGACGGAGGCGGCGACGTCCTGCTCCAGTGGGGGCACAACAAGAGGTCCCGCGGCTCGAGGGCGGAGGCGTCCCCCGCCGCCCACTCGAGGCATAAAATACAGCTGAGATCGGCGGCCACGGTAATGCCCCCTCCGTCCTGTGGCTCGTTTTCGAGGGGCGCCAACTACCGTCCTCTGATCACCAGGCATGTGGTTTCTTATCATATTCTTCGATCTTAGTCTTCCCTTCCCCCTCTCCTTTTCTACTGCTCATGTTTTTGCTACTCTTTCGACGTATTTCTGAAAACAAAGTGAAGTAAAAAAAAAAAAATCACATCTTTAATTTATTTTAGCTCTTCTGTATCTTAATTTTATAGTTTATGTATAAAAAAGTTTCAATCTTTTATTTCATTTCTGTCCACTATTTTGTGTCCATATCTCCATGTTGAGAGAGCGGCCTCTGTTTTGGTGGTTTCGCCAGGAATTGTTTCTTAAAACTCGTGTAATATTGTCAGATAGAAGATAAAGATTGCCCTTTTGGTGTGAAGTGACTGGAAATTTGTAAGAATCTGTGGCCGTCTTTTTATAAAGCTGTTAATTTCTTCCATGTTAGATGATGTTGCTTTTTTGTGGACGCAGTTGCAAGGCTTTGATCCTTTGTGGTACAGCTACAAGCCCTGTCCGAACAAGATAAAAAAGCATACTAGCATCCTTTGATGAGGCAATTTTATGGAACTTTCCTGCGTCCATTTGTGTTAATCATCAAAACAAATGAACTCTAATTCTGTCGTCTCTCCTTTTTCTCCATTTGTGTCCTAACAAGATAAGCGCATTCTATCAAAGTCTCTCCTTTTCTCTGTTGTTCAGTTTACATCATGACTACCTCCTAGTCGGCCTTTATTGTTCAGGGAGATTGGCTTTGCTGACCCACCATGATGCATCTCTGTCCCTTTATCTTGGCATTGTTTTTGTTTCGTCGTTGTTTTTGAGAGACATGTTATCAGTTAGCTTTGCTTTTCTGATGTTTGAGAAGGTATTATTGTCTTTTAAGAGCTTCTACTACTTTTTTGTTTGTGTTTTGGCCTGGATTCAACAAGGCAGTAAACCTGTATGTGTGGGGCTTTGTAGGTTATAAATACTGTTTTACATCTCATTTTGAGTGGCATCTAAAGTTAATAGTAGGCTCACAGGTTCTTTGCCCTCTTCGACTCAGCTTGCTTGCTTTGCCTTGCTTTCTTCTAAACCCCTCTTTTGTTTGTTTGTTTTGTCCGCCATCTCCCCATGATCAGAGGCACCGAGGATTCATCGAGCGGCCTGACTCGTACTGAGAGGCGTTGCCCGGCATCCCCACCGGAGAAGTCCCGTAAGGCTTCAGCCAAGGCCACCCTGAACGGCTGCACAGCAGCAGATGTTTCTGCGAATCCAGAACAGTCGAAGCGGGCACCGGACCGAGAAACGGGTGGCGGCGGCGGCACCATGACGGCGGGTGAGAAGCTGAATCTGGATAAGTTCGAGTGGCCAAGGATTTATGTATCCCTCTCCAGGAAGGAGAAAGAGGATGACTTCCTTGCCATGAAGGGGACTAAGCTACCGCACAGGCCCAAGAAGAGGGCCAAGAACATCGAAAAAGCCCTCCAGGTCTAATATTCTTCTCTTTCTCCATCAATCCATCCATCCATCCATAATCTCATACATCACTAATGTATGAGATTGTTCCTTGAGCTTCATTAGAATTGTTTTTTTTTTTTTGTATGGCTTATTATCTCTTTCTTTCTTGATCCACAGAAACTATATAAAACAAACTAAAGTCTTAATCGTTTGGGATTGTGATGTGGGCTTTGGTGTGTTCAGTACTGTTTTCCAGGGATGTGGCTTTCGGACTTGACAAGAGGGAGATACGAAGTGAGGGAGAAGAAAAGTGTGAAGAAGGTAACTTGTTCCCCTCAACCATCTATCTCTACCTCCAATGTACAACACAGTTCATGTCTTCCCATACCTCTCGGCCTTCCTGAGACACGAGTATAAATCATGTGCTTGGCTCTTCTTTTTTGATTGTTTGGTTTGAAAACATAATAATGATAGTTGGTGATGTCTGGTGAGTGGGGGTGGCTGCATTGATGGGCTCAATTAAGATGCCCCCCCTCCCTCCTCTTTGTCATTCCTTTTTGACTTTTTTCCTTATGGGGACCTGAGTTGTTCTTTTAAGGCAAGTGATTTTTTTTGGTTTACGGTGGCTCTAATTCTAATGATAGCTGGTTTTGGTGCGTGCAGAAGAGAGCTGGATTGAAGGCAATGGAGAGCTTAGATAGTGATTCAGAGTAATTAATGATGATGATGGCTCAAAATCTTCTTCTTTCTTCTCTTTTTGCTTGGGGGGTTGTAGTTTCAATCCCTCCTTTTGGCAGTCGATAGAGAACTTGTTATCCTTGCTGTCTTAGCTCTTGTACACATCTCCAGCAAAAAGAAGAAAAAAAAGGAGAAAAAATTGTCTTAGTCAGTCAAATGCTCTCCACTCTCTTCTTCATGCATGCTATGGTAGATCTTCAGTACAGCTTTCATTTTAGCCCGATGTGTGATGTACGTATTTGGTGATGATCCAATCCGAGTCACAGAGGATGTCTTCAACTCTATTATAAATTCCCATCTTCTAACCATGGAATTGAATGTTTCGTACTTTTCCCGCATAACTAAAGATTACTTGTGTCCTCCAACCCTCTCACTGTTGTTGGTACAGCAGAGGACACACAGGCGGGGCCAGCTATACGTGCTAAGTTGCAGCTTTTGTTTCACCTGGTAAATACACATACTGTGGTCAAAGTTTTGGTCCCTCGTTGTAACATGTTGTCTCGCTGTAACAACTTTCGATATGATATATTTTAACATTATCTACGTTACAATATATAAACGATCTTCATATAGAGTGATACCTTAGACCTGAGACGATCACATGATTTTCATATTGTTCGGTGCTATACAGGTAGCGTTGCCACACAACGTCGGACACCCCAAAGCTATTACGCAAAACTCGAGACGGCACTAACCCATATGGGTCGATCAAAGCTTGTCTATAGAATATAAGCTATCCTCCCGAGGAGTCCGTAGTCATTAAAGGACCACGTACAACCAATCGCTCAATCGTAGGTATAAAAGTCAACCCTCTAACCAATGAGAGGAGACTTTGAACACCCAACTCTCTCTTATTCTGTCCCAATCTAACTTAAGCTTTGGAAGAGTCGAGTCAGAAAATCCCCCTCCTAACCTTGACCTAAGTGCAGGAGCCTGGCGACGAAGCAGTAAATGACGAAGCCCACAACTCAACCCAACCCGACGCTCACTTCTTCCACCCGAGCTTCCGTGTTGGCAACCTTACGCATCCGGGATCGGACCGAACCGTGTTGACATTTCGGCCATGACATAAAGGTTCACCAATATTTTTAGTGCTAGAAGGAGGGCCCAATGTTACAAGAACGCCCCCAGTCGAACAATCCGGGAGAGCATCTCGGAGAAGAGCCACACTCGACCTTTGGGTTCGAAGGATAGCCCCCACTTCCTCCGAGCCCAGAAGTAAACACCTTGATCACGTCCCCAGGCTGCTATTTGCAGTTGTTCAATGATCCTGGGTTGTCGCCTCCCGGGACCACCATGGGGTAACCTACCATCTCAGCCGAGGCATTCCTTAGCCTCACACACCAAGTCCAAACCTTAGCAGGGATGATGCAGGCTATCATCCCCCTATCCACCAGCTTGCCCAATAGTCGGTATTGTCCTGACCACCGCTGTCGCCATGGGACCCGACGATGCCTGCCACCGAACCCCGAGTGCCATCTCCGGCCCCTTATCAACCTAGAACAGTGGATGTCAATCTTTTGCTCGAGGAGCAATCGGGGAACCTGAGGCCCACACTAGAGCATAGTGCTCCAAGCCCTCGACGCACCACCCTGAGCTCCCCCGAGCCCAACACTCTATCATCCGACTCGATGGACTCTCTCCGAGCTCAGCTGCACTTGGTCAATCAACGGTTGGACGAGGTCTAGAAGGAGTTCTACAAGTCCAAAGGAGAGCTCAGGGAAGCCTGCTCAACAGGGTCCCCTTTCGTATAAGAAATTCATGACAAACCAATACCGCTGAACTTCTTTCTCCCCATGCTCGAAGCCTACGACGATGGCTCTGACCCTATAGAACATATCACTGCCTTTCGGGCTCAGATGGCCCTATATGGTACTTCTGATGCCCTAATATGTCGAGAGTTCTCAACCACTCTACGGGGTTCAGCTCGGATGTGGTACACCCGACTCAAGCCGGCCTCGGTCTCATCTTTTGACTAGTTCGTAAGGGACTTTAAGCTCAATTTCCTAGCCAGTGCATGGCCAAAACCATCTGTAGTCATGCTCCTCAGCCTAAGTCAGAAGGACGACGAACCCCTCTCTCACTTTGTCGCTCGCTTCGTCACCGAAATCCGAGGAGTCCTAGATGACTACACCCCACTGATCATGCAAGCATTCTTGATTGGCCTACGACTGTCTAGATTCTTCTGATCACTGATCGAGCAGCCGATGGCAACCATCCTCGAGATACTCCAATGTGCAAACCAGTACATTACCGTTGAGGCCCTAATGGCGGGAAAGCACGAAGAGCACAAAAAGGCCTTGCGCAGTGCAATCTCGAGGGTAGCCCTCGGGCCCATCAAGGAGAAGGCTCGACCAACTCAAGCCGCAGCTTCCAAGGCCACCTATCCTACCCTTGAGTTCATCCAGAATAAAGATCTTCCTCTAGATCTGAGAGAGGGGTCTCATGAGGGCACCCAACCTAATGAAGACTCCGTGCGAGCTTAGAGATCGCTCCAAGTATTGCCGCTTCTACTGCAACTACGGCCATGACATCAAGGAATGCCACGACCTAAAGAACCAAATCAAGGAGCTCATTCGCAGAGGGCATCTCAGACTCTACATCAAAAAGCAACGGGAATCTTCCCCACACCCCTCGAGCCCCATTGAAAAATAGATCGACGTCATCATCGACGGTCCAGCTTCCAGGGGAGATAGCACATCAGGGCGAAAAGCCTACGCATGAGCAACCATGGAAAAGCATCCCCGGCAATAGGATGGGCTTGATATCACCTTTATAGTGGGGGAAGCCAAGTATCCCGACCATGATGGTGCCCTGGTGATCTTGGTCAGGATTGCTAATGCTTGGGTCAAAAGGATAATGGTAGACACTAAAAGCTCGGTTGATGTCCTATACTTCAATGCCTTCCAGAAGCTCGGCTTGACCAGAAGAGACCTCGCCCCTATGACCTCGGCTCTTACCGGGTTCACCGAAGATTCTATCTCGCCCCTCAACACTACCACCCTATAGGTCACCATCGATGAGGAGCCAAGGTCCAAGACTGTGATAATTACTTTCATGGTGGTCAGACTCCCCTCAGCATACAACTCATCTTAGGCCACCCAACCCTCAACAAGATGAGAGCTATCATCTCCACCTATCATCGAGCAGTGAAATTTCCAACTCGCGTCGGGATTGGAGAAGTAAATAGCGATCCTCGAGAGTCAAAGCAATGCTATCTAGCAGCTGTCACGTTGCCTAAAAAGCTGAAACCAGAGTCATCCGTGTCCAACCCCCAAGATGCTACCAAGCTGCAACTTCATCCTGAGCCGACCAAGTAGATACTAGAGATTCCCCTTGACAAAAGTCGGGCAGACAAAGCTGTGAAGGTCGGGTTCAAGCTCCCAGAGAAGGAATGAGTCTAGCTTATTGACTTCTTGACAAAAAATGCAGACGTCTTCGCTTGGTCGCCAAGAGACATGACGGGTATTGATCTGAAGGTCGCACAACACCACTTGAATGTTTCCCCCCAAGAACAACCGGTGAAGCAGTGGCCTCGGAAGATTGCCCTCGACTGACAAAGAGCAGTCAGTGATGAAGCAGATCATCTGTTGGAAGTAGGGTTCATAGCCGAGGCAAATTATCCCTAATGGCTATCCAATGTAGTTCTTGTCAAAAAAATATAATGGAAGCTAGAGTATATGTGTTGACTATACCGATTTTAACCGAGCATGCTCGAAAGATTGCTACCCGCTCCCGAGGATAGGCCAACTGGTCGACGCAACGTTGGGGAATGAGCTCCTCACATTCATGGATGCTTTCTCAGGGTACGACCAAATCAAAATGGCTCCCGAAGATCGAGAGTACACTGCCTTCATCACTGACCAAGAGTCTACTATTATAAGGCCATTCCCTTCAGACTAAAGAATGCTAGAGTGACGTACTAAAGGACGATCAATAAAATGTTCAAGCACCAGATCGGGAGGAACATAGAGGTATATGTTGATGACATGATCGTGAAAAGCAAGCTCGCATGCACCCATCTAGTAGACTTGGCTGAGATGTTCCGAGTGCTCAAGAAGTTCGACATACATCTCAACCCCACCAAGTGCACCTTCGGAGTCAATTCTAGCAAGTTCCTCGGCTTCATCATTCACTAGTAGGGGATAAATGCAAACCCCCAAAAGGTTCGAGCTATAATTAATATTGTTGAATCTCATATTTTGATGATGAAACTAATTGATAGTGTTTATGATTTGATCTACGTTTTGAATGACGCAGGAAGCTTCGATCAGGGAGAGACAATTAAAGTAGGAAGAATCATGTTGGGCCGGAGTAGAACATGCTAGAAGATTGGATGTTGCATTGAAAGATTAGTTGACGTATCTACAGAAGACTTCGGGCCATGGGTTCGAGCATAGGGCCAAGAATAGAGGAAATTGTGCCAAGAAAATCGAAGTTGCAGAGGTCAACTAGCCGATTGGGCAATAGGCCATAACAGAGAACGATACGCCGAAGAATCAGATGAAGCGTCGATGAACCAATGACTTGATGGACAACATTTGATTCAAGCTTTGTAATAATTGTCTAGATTGAAGTAGGTTTTAAGTGTGCAGGATTAACTATGATAGCGATCAAGGCATAAAGCAAAATGAAGTCCTGGAGTCAAGAACGAGATTTTGTTGGGTGTTTGAGAGTTCGTCGGAAGTCCAGACGTTCGTCGAAAGTTCTATCAGAATTGACCAAGAAGTCCTGAAGCTTGCCAAAGAAGTTCATGGGAACTCGCTAAGAAGATCGTTAAAAAATCCAGGAGCTTGCCGAGAGTCTGTTGGAATATTATAGAGAGATCGTCGGAAGTTCGTTGGAAGAAACCTAGACTTACCGGACTTATTTAGCTTAGTGTATATCTTAAAATTCGTAATTAGCACATAATTGGGTTGGAATTGGGCCAACTCAACTAGGGGCCAATTGGGCCCAAGTTTGGGTTTGTTGGGCCAAGTGAAAAGACCCAAACAGTGACCCAACAGGTGAAACTGTCAAGGCACATTCTTTGAGACTATGTCAGGCAGTAGTACCGTCGGTCTAGGCGGTGGTATCGCCCAGACACAGTCTCTGAGAGATTGTCAAGCGGTGGTATCGCCAAACTGGGTGGTGGTATCACCCAGTGGCAGGGTGTCAAGCGGTGATACCGCTTAGTGTCAATGCTGTAGGTGGTGGTACCGCCAGGACCCCGAAAACTGGGGATGAGATACTTTTAGGCTCCAAGTTTGAATCTACTTAAGGTATATAAATACCCCTCTCATCTCTGGTTAGAAGACACAAGAATTAAGAGCAAAAGAAAATAAAAATACTATTGTAA